ATGCCTGTTGGAGGAATCCCTTAGGGCAATGGGTTGACACCCCTGGGTTACCGTCCCAGGTGAGTGGCTAGACTCCTGGGTTGTACCGCCAACTAGTTGGTTATGCCGAGGTCCTTGGCCTGACCACTGATACTCTCTGATGCGGGATACGTTCCCCGGTCTTGACGTAATTCGTATAGGCTATGACATTATCCGCTCCGTGGTAGCGATTCTTAAAGAACAACAATCTTGTAGGTACTTCGGTCTGCACTTGGTCGCGCAGACGGTATTAACCTTAGGCGTTATGAGACAGGTCTCCTAACCGGTAAGCTAACCCTAACGTAAGTACCCCTCTTGACCAAAGAGGAATCAACGTCAACTAAGGAACATTGATACATAGCCTAACCCTAACCGGCTAACCCTAACAGCTAACCCCTAACCATGGGGTTCCGAACCCTAGCCTAACCCTAAGGCTAGGGTTCCCACGATAAGGTACGTGGGTCAGTTTGCTTACGTAAGCTGATGGTGGCTGTCCGTAGAAGTCTCGGCTTCCTCGGGCCGGTCGGCCCGGTCGGCACCTCCGCAGTGGGAATGTCTTGGCAGCGGCACGGCGGCATCTCGGCCGGCACGCCCTTTCTTAGTACGCCGAGCTTCGGCTCGGAGGGGAACGGATCGGGTCGGGCTCGTCGGGGTTCTGCTGTCCCTGTTGGGATGTTTCTTCCTACGGTAGGTGTTCTGCCGTGTCTCGGCTCCCGTGCGGCTCTCCGTGCGGGATTCTTTGTTCCCGATTAGGTACGTAACCCCGTTCCGTCGTCTTGGCGTTAATATTTTTGTTGTCGCCGCGTCGGCATCTCTGCCGGCCGGTGTCGCTCGGTCATCTCGGGCAGAACCCTGATGAGCCTATAAAGGCGAAACAGGGCTGGCTGGGGATCCCCTCAGCCACTGTCGGTTCTGTCTTCGCCCCTGCTCCTCTCTCTGTTGCGACCATCCCTGCGCCAAAAAAACGCTCGGTCGCTTCGCTCCCTCGCGTTTTTTGGGCGCCCTAACCCAATCATCCAAAACTGAGACGCCCGGAGGTCAGCCTGACCTCCTGGCTGGGACAGGGGTAGGGCCCTGTTCCATGCCATAACAGGTTTTTCCTCCCAGCAAGATGAGTATACCAGGGATGCAATGCCTTACACAGGACTGAACACAGTGAATAAATTCCAGCATGCTTCTGCAGGGCATGGAAACCCATGACCTTAGTGAATGTGTAAGGGTTGAGACAAAGCTAATCCAGTCAAAAAATATTGTGCTCAGCTCCTGAATGGCTGTAAAAAGGATATCTACCTGAATAGGGATTTTCAGAACCTCTACTCCTTAGGTCATTGTAAACCAGCTGTAACATCCATATCCCCAAATATTATCCAATTTACTACACCAGTATGGCACCACACCAAAGCAGTTTTCTGAATGTAAGATCAGTGAGTTATCATGTCACACATTTATTTCAACTTTTTACAATCGTACATTATTTCCACATATTCCTTCACCATTTCTCCACACTATTTGATATTACAACATTAACACTTATACTCGGGTGTATGAATGCACAAATTTAGTTTGGTTTTTTGCACAGATTTTGAAAGAGGTATTTTATTATCTGGAGAGTCAAACCTTGCTGTGTGGCTATGCAGCCTAGTTTCCATTGATTCTATAGCATGGAGGGATTTTTGGAGGATGATAATGACCCAAGTTGATAGACCCACTCTGTCCAATCCTCAATTCCATGTATTCAGTAAATCGGCCGTAGCGGCCGAAGGAGCATTCCCACGGTCATGGGAGTGTGATATTCGGATTCCCACAATAATTCTGCACAGATTTAGGTACCCGACGGAATTGAGCCTCAATTCCGTCCGAACACAAGGATAGGGGAGATCGAGAGGTGCGCTACGGTCCCCGAACCCAGAGCGAAGTAGAATAATGGCCGCTTCTCTTTATCTTGCGAGCGAGACATGGACACAAACGGTCAAACTCGGGCTGTGGTGGTTGCGTTCGAGAGGCAGGCGAGATCTGGATCGGAGCACCCACACGCTCCCTAAGCGCGTAGTCAATGCTGCAAGCCACGCCAGCGAATTTGGCGTGCAATTACAGCCTACACAGCTTCAATGCGGGACATATACGGACGCACATTCCCGGAGAAATCAGAGAAAACTCGATTGCTGTATCGGGAAACAGCTGTCTATCACAAATGGTTGCGCGCAGGGCGACGTGGAACGAAGCTATTGGACAACACATGATTCAAAAGCAGACGATTACGATGATAACATGTAGGATATCGAGAACCTCAACGGAAGAAACGTGGCCTTCATTGTTATGTGTGGGCGTCAAGTCGCTGCTGGATAGTTGTGCATCATGGGTGGAGGTTGATCAGAAGTGCGACGTAGCAGCTTGCGACCACGCGACCGGCCAGCGCTCCCGCCGTACGCCTGATCCTGCGGATTCTCCATAACCATCTTACGCCCGTCCGCGGCGAACATGCTTGCGTCGGCCTGTACAGTATCCTGTGGTGGCGGGAGCGCCGGTGTGACAACCATACCCCCGCCCGAGGACCACTTGTCCCTCTCGCCCCGAGGCCTGGACGACGACGCGCGAGCAGAATCGACCGAGCGGTCGCGGAGATGCATGCCGCCAAATAGTCGGTTGAAGAAGAACGGCTTTTTGGTCGACTGCACAGCGGGCGAGCCAGGCGGGGCTTGCGGGGGAGGTATCGCGAGGAGCGAGTGCTGGCCGGACGACGTGCCGCGGTGATACCGTGACGAGCCCGACGAGCGCGTGCTAGCATATCGGGAGGCTTCGTCGTCCGTGGACTGGGAGCGGTCGTCGTCAGTCGGACTGGTAGTATGGATAATCGTGGAAGTCGGGGCCAACTTACGATGACGTGCACCTTCTGGCCGGGATTCGGGAGGACATAGTATGTACTCCCGCTGCTGGTGGACGTATTTCGGCTCCGCGGATTGGCGTAGCCATGTGCGGCCAGGTCGCGACTATGCACCACCTGGCCCCTCTGCGGCTCCTCCGTCGGTCGGTTCTTTGACCTCTTCCCTGTGATCATTCGCGTTACACTGTTCGATCGCGGCAGTAGCGCGCGCACGAGGCTGCCCGACCGACCACCCGAACTCGCGGCGGGATGCTGGCCCATGCTGGTTGCCGGGCGGTGAATGCGGCCGGGGGACGGCGCGCCAAAGGAGTTTTGGGGATAGGAGTGCGAATGTCCATGGTGCGTGACGTGGCGGGCATGGTGAGACGGCGAGGAGGAGTCGACGAGGACGGCGTGGTTGGACGGCGGAGTGACGAGGACGACGGAAGAGCCGTTCGAGTCGACGAGAACGCCGGATTCGTTGGACGACCGGCCGCGGGATTTGCTGCGTCCGCGGCTGTGGCTCCGGCCCCGTCCGCTCCTTGTGTCGGGTACGTCGCCGTGACGTTGGTCTGTCTCGCCTGGGAAGGGTAGGCCGGTTCCAGGTAGAGGGATAGGCTGAGGCGGAGGGATCTGGCCACGCGGGAAGGTCGTTTGATGCGCTGGGGCTGAACGAGGCATCACCTCCGGCGGATGGTACGCCTCGTCCATGGCCATGTTGTTACGCGACGGAGCGTACACGATGGCGGGTGCACGGCCTGGATTAGCCCCGTGGCGCGAAGAGGGCGCACGGGAGGACACGATAAGAGGCGGAGGCTTACGCGAGGTCGACGTTGACCGGTGCGTGTTCGCAGTGCCGTATGGTTGCTGCGACAATGACGTGGAGCGAACGCGGGACTGCTGCTGCTGCTGCTGTTGATATTGTTGCTCCCGGGGAGGTGGAGGCCCATGTGCCGAAGGCGGGGGCGTCGGAAGAGTGAGGCCGCGATCGTGATGCTGCATCGCGGACGTCGGGCGGTCGAGATAACCTTGGGCGTTCGAAAGCGGGACGGGTGTCGATAGGGTGTACATCATTTCCGGGGCCGATAGCCCTGGATCTCCGCGGGGGGTAGGCGTGGAGTACGATATGCCGAGCGAAGGCGATCTCGTCCGGCCATGATTGTGAGGCGTGGGTGTCGTCGTAGAAGGAGCGCCGCCCAAGCCTCCGCGATCCTGCGATTGCGCGTGCGATCGTGGCTGTGGCTGATAAATGGCCGAGTTCGCGAGCGATTGGTGTTCGATGAAGCGCGAGCGGATGTCGGAGGAGCCAGAGGAGTTGGACGGGAAGACCTTGATGGTCTCTGGCCCCGAAATGTTGAGCGGGGTCTGAGGTTGGGATTGCGACGGATGAATTGGGGATGGTTGTTGGGCGGGCATGGCATACGGCTGTCCGTGCTGACCTTCCATGTGAGGGATGAATGGTTGGTCAGGTCGCGGCGGCTGCTCGTGGAAACTTTTGTACGGCGACGAGCCTGGTCCGTGCTGTGGCGAGACGCCGTAAGGCGAACTTGGGCCACTAGTATAGGGAGAGGCGTTGGAGTATGGTGTATGGGGATGCGGAGGAGGAACCGGTATCGGTGGCATGGACGCGCGCGAGTCGGCGATAGAGTGTCCATGGGATCGGGTGCGGGAGCGACGGCCATGGGAGTGACGATCTTGCTGGTACGCATACGGATCTTCGTAAGGGGATACGGGTGAGATGGGAGTGCGGGGCGTGGCGTGGCCGGACCGCGTACCCTGCGGGTCGCCATATGGATGACCGTACTCGTAGCCGGTGTACGCTCTCCTGGCATTGTCCTGCTCGCGTCGTTGGTATTCCCTCTCTTCCCTATCGCGTCGGCGAGTTTCCCGCTCTCGACGTCGCTCTCTATCGTCCTGGTAACGGTCCATATCTGGTCCTATCTTGATGACGCGACCGTCGCCGTACTTGAGTTCCATGCGGGGAGGGATGGACTTGCTCGACTCCGCGTCCCAGTCGGGGTCGGACGAATTCGACTCGTGCGTGCGTACGGAGGGAGCAACTAGAGGGTGGCAAGGTGTGCGTGAGTCGAGGTTTTTACGAGCGCGAACGGCCGAGACGGGTTAGGGGAGGACGCCGCGAAAGGCGACGGGGCAGGTCAAGGGTTGCGGCACGAGGCCCAGGATGACGTGAAACCGTTCCAGCAATAGCAGAGAAACTGCCTCGATGTCGAATATGAAGGTGCAACTCAAGGGAGGACGTCGGGTGCAAAAAGGCAAGACCGGAGAGGAGCGACGGGCATAGCTATCACGAGAGGGAAATGAACGCAAAAGCGCGCTCATCTCAGAGGCCTGGGAGTCACAGATGACGGGGCAAGATGACCGCGGGAAAAGATGAAATGATGCTGGATCAAAGCGACCATGGGACTCGAACTCAAACGTCCGCGGCGGGGAAACGGTTCGTTTACGTTTCTGGTACGCACCGGAAGGGGAATAAAACGCGCCGCTGGCCACGGCTTGCGAATGCGACACGACCCAGTTCTTCGTGCGGTCACGCGCGTTCATGTACTCCATGATCGCCTCTGGGTCGTCGGTATACTCTGTCATCTTGGCGTCCTGAGCAAGTCGAGATCGGTAAGCGCATCGCGAAACACCAGAAGGCGGGAGGGTGGGCAAGGAAGGGCGCTGCGGGCGGGGGACGAACCTGATGACTGAATGGGGGTAGGGGTGCTTGATGGTCGTAATTATAGGCCAGGGTATGGCGTTACCAAAGGCCGTGAACTGAAGCTTAACAAGCAAAAGAGACTGGAAGATACGTTAGCTGATTGTTTCGACGAACGCCACATCGCGGACGTTGAAGGACGCTGACGCACACTCTCCCTCCTCAATCCCACCGCCACACAGCCCGATCGAGGCCAACCGCTTGGCCTGGTGAGTAGTGGAGATCTCGTACGTCCTCCGATGAGATCGTTGTGCTAGCCGAGAGGTGTGGGGGTGCCAGAAGATGGATCGAAGAGACAGAACAAAGGCGAGGAGGCGCCACGCGACGAGGAGCAGCCAGCTAGAGCAACTGGTGCCTGAGAGAGTTGTGTGTATAATCGTCTACTTCTGCGGTCCGGCAGGATTCTATATTGAAGGAAGTTGATCGTCTACACCCCACCCGGCAGGAGGACGAGCCCGACCGCGATGGTGAAGACAGTGGGTGAACTGCGTCGAGCTCAACCTCTGCGGTCGGTGCGCAGGATGCTGGACATACAACAGACCGTCGATGAGAGTATAACGTTAGGTGAGGGTCCCATGATCCGAGAACCCGCTGAGGATGGCGTAGCGCCTCGAGGCGACGGCGTGGCTAATCGAGGTGGGAAGCAAAGGGTCATTCACCGCATCATTATCTCCTCCCTGCCTCTCCCGACACCACCACATCTGGTCCCGCGTTCGATCCCGACTCGGCGAACAATAGATCCTCTCACTTCGTTCTTGCCATCCGTACTCCCGATTGCGCATAGGGCTTACCTACATACGACTAAGGGTGCGCTCGACCCTGGATGTACATTTGTACTTATGTTCGAGCAGATGGCGTCTCAAAGCGCTCCGCCAACCATAGCCATCCATGGCCACGTCCAGAGTCACCGGATGCCGCTCATACTCACGCTGCGCGCGGTGCTTATCTGCGCCATACCGGCTCGACCAGCCGTAAGAACGCAAGGCTGGCAACCGGCGTGAACGCCCAGCGGAGTACTGGCGAAACCTGCTCTTTTTTGTCTACGAACTCGAGCGTGCGTCTACGATAGATCGACTAGAGGGACAGCTTGAGCACCGAATATTCGCACAGCTTGATCTTCTCGTTTGAAATACGGAAGGAAATCTGCGCTTCCTATCTTGAGCGTCTGTCGGAAAATAGACTGGGGATGCTTCATTCGCCTACACGCACCTCCGACCGTGTCTATCGGAGCTGATATCATCCCTCAAGAATGTCTCATAATCCTTCACAAATCTCCGCGTAAGCATGACAATGAACGCGTTGGCTTGTCGACGGTTGCTCACTGGCGCTGTAGGCGCCTGCCGATCTGTGTTCATGCCGTTTGATTCTGCCCATCATCTTTGCCTTCTTGCGGGAGAGATCGCACGCTTGTGTCCTTGATGCGTGACATGAACATCTCTGTAGAGCCTCATCGCGAGATGAGGCTATCGTCGTCTTCAGATTGCATAGCATCGATTTTCTGACTATGCATCGACCCATTTTCTTCTCCAATCCCACCGTGATTGGCACACTGTCAGGGTCCTACTGGTAGTTGAACGTACGTTATCGACGATTCGGCGCACCCTGCTCGTGTGAGTTCTAGCTTTTCTTTCGACGTCACCAACATGCAAGACTCGATCATGCATGTCTCTGATATGGACACCTAGGTCCTCTTGGATGACGAAGTCGACGCAACAGCCCTTCGCCGCGTGGCTATCGCCCAAATGTGATGCAGAAGTGACGCACGGCCATTTCATCTATGTTCGAACGATGCGCATACGATCATGAATCGGTCTAAATATTGTTTGTCGACATGTTCCATACATGCAGGCCCTGGGTCTTCATGGCAGATTCTGTGACAAATTGTGTTTTGTCCTAGGATGTCTCTTCTGCTGTGCTTTATGCGAGTATTTACAGCTACACTCAGAACGATAGACGAATCCGTCCACGTTCGGTTCGTGTGCCGTAGCCTCCAATGGAAGCAACGATTGGGGCTCAGAAGCGGCGGTTTTGAACCTCCGCATGTACGGACGACTATCCGCTATGTTTTGTTTGCTAGCTGCACGCCTCTACTCGAACAGTAGTTGCCTTAAATCGCGCTGTGTTCATGAATTGACCGGGCTCTGTCGATTTGATGCTTGATTTTTCGAATGAGCATGGACGCAGAGCACCAAAATCATGAGAAGAGCCCTTTCCATATATGGGAAAGGTGGAGCTCGGCGGCTACGGCACACAAACCGAACGCGGGCGCGTTCGTCTATCGTTCTGAGTGTAGCTGTATGCATGCGCACGGGATGCCTAGGACAGTGCTCATAAGGCGCGGGATCGCTTTCATTCATAAATCGAGGATTCACTCGCATCATCGGCGTTTCACAAACTCAATCATTCATTTGAGTCGCGCCTTGCCCATGCTGTGACATTGGCTGGGAAGACATACAGTCGGGGACAAGCAAAGTCAACAAATCATGTAGCGGCTCACACGCATTTCCTATCACATTTCTGACTTTGGATTCAGAATCAGCGCACCTGGAAACATCCAAATCTGCACTCTTTTGAATTTTCCCACGAGAAATCGGGAGTGCCAATTTTTGGGCGAGTTTCACCGCTACATGTAGGGTGCTGCGCCCGGATCAGAAGGCCGCAGATGCCCCCGGAGGGCCGAGGACTGGACCCCTTGACCACTAGCTTCAGGCTGCCAAGTCCCGGAACCCACCTGTATTTGGTGTCTAAGCCGGTTCTTGCCAAAATAGGGATATTTTGACTGCCTATTTTGGCGGACAGCCACATGGGTTCTCACGCAGTTCAGTCACATGATTGAAGTTCCTAATTTTTTGTGGCGTTGCGGCTCGTTAGAATTATCAATCGCCATCAGAATCATACGCAGAATACAAAAAGGAAGCGAATGAGCACTTTTCGGAGATTTTAGGGTCATTTTTTGGGGTGTGCCAATTTTTTGGGGTCAATTTTTCTTATTTTGGCTTTTCTGGGCAATCTGCTCGTGCAATCCTTGAACTAATGTGTATAGTATCATGCCTGAAGCAAA